TGGATTCAATTTTAAAACTCGAGTCCCTAATAATACTTTTTAAAATCCAGTACTCAAAGGAATGCTCATAAAACTGTTTGACTATGGGTGTTTAGTGTGATCAGGATTCAAGAATTTGACCAACATGTTTGAAACTCAGGCTCAAACTTATACTCCTCTACATTGGTATGAACTTGGGATGAGGTTAAAAGCAGAAAAAAAAAATATATTAAATAAATAATATTGACAATAAATATGCTTCTGTTCCTCTGTGTCAGAAGTAGCTTTTGGCTTACAGAAACTCAGAGTGTATCCCAAATAATGTTAAGCTAAACTGTCCTCATAGTTTTCCAGACAATATAGAAAAAAAGAGGAAGTTGTCAAGATCTTTAAAATATAACATGAGGAAGAGAGGTTTGTTGTCAGAACTGTTTAAAGGGGATTAATTTTCACTTCTGTTGTATACTCCAAAGAGTACTTTTAGCCTTTTCATCTGGTGTACTAAGCCTTTAAGCCCAAGTCACTTTTAAGCTGACTACTGTGTTACATGGCTGTTAACTCGAATATCTGATTCAAGAATATGTGTATTGCCAGCAGTTAATTTTCTATTTCTTTATTGTCGGTTGAAAACTGGATAGCTGATGTTGATTAAGGAAAAACAGTGAAGTCAGTTGTCTTCAAAAGGATTTATCTTCTTTTTGTCTGACATGGGGCCTGAAGAAACATATACCTGAAGTGTTGTAGGGTTAGCAAAGGAAAGGAAATAAGCTTTGGCTTGAAAATCTTTTTTAAGCAGAGTAAATTGACTCTTGAATGGCTGTAGGTAAGAAACCAGTAACTTGCGTAATATGGATTAAATTTGAAGTGCTTAATCAACATAGATGCCACGAGCTGTTTTCACACTGTTTTAAAAGAAAAAAAAACCACATACGTGACAGTACAGTGCTGGGAACCCTTTGGATTTTTTTTTTTAATGAAATACATTTTTAAATTCTAGAATAATATCTGTAGATTTATAGAAACAAACACAATTCTTCATCACATGTTAATAAACCTTACAGTAAATTACATCAGAAGGACAAAGTTAATTACGACCCAAACCCCAACAGATGCACGATAGATCAAACTATTAGGTTGCTATGATTGGTTATTGCAAAATGGTGGTGTGGTTTATTTTTTATTAACTCTGCTTGACTTGCATTCTCTTTACTGTTGTTGTTCTAGCAAAACCAGAGTTGTCACATAGAGAACACATCTATCGATAACAGAGGAGGCTTTGTCTGAGTAACAAGTAGAATAAATATTGCTAGTACATCTTTTTAAAACAAAGAAATATCCTAGCAGTTGGTTTGCTTTTTTTCAAATATCAGTGAAGACTAGTGAATGAAATTACATTGCATTTTGTTTCAAGAGAATTTTAAAGCAAATTTACCAGGTGAAGTACCAGCAAATTAACCTTGAAGAACAGTATCATAGAGATTATTCTTTTTATTTTACATGTTGCAGTAAACTCCTCACTTGCTTATTCTGCACATCTCGGGAAACAAAGCCAGGAAACAAACTGTTAGAAGCACATCTGTGGGAGGACAATAGGCTAGGGGCTGGAGAGCAAAATGATCTCTGGAATATTTTAATTTTGGCCTGTGACAGTTGGGATATGGACACGGAAGGAATTCTGACTCAAAGATGCCTTTAAACACAGGTCTGCTGAGGGGGGGAAGCAGTACTCCAGGTGTAACAGAGCCGCCCTGAAGGTCGGGAATGACGCACTGGTTATTGTCAGGCAGTTGCTAGCATTTAAGTTAGAGCAGTTTAAGGCATTTTCACTTTTCTCAGATAGAAGTTGTGACCTTTCAGAGGAGATGAATATTAATAGAGTCTATTATAATGCAAACGAAACATTTTAAAGGTATCAGCAGCTCCCTGTAGTTAGTTGTTTTGCTTCCATTGCCACAAACTGCAGGAGCCGGTGTGGTTGGTGTGTCCGCGGGAGCCTTTGGGGTTGGTGTGTCCGTGGGAGCCCGTGTGGTTGGTGTGTCCGCGGGTGCCGGTGTGGTTGGTGTGTCCTCAGGAGCCCGTGGGGTTGGTGTGTCTGCGGGAGCCCGTGTGGTTGGTGTGTCCGCAGGAGCCCGTGGGGTTGGTGTGTCCGCGGGAGGCGGGGGGGGTGGTGTGGCCCGGGC